TTTCCACAAAGTTTTGAGCGTGAAATTTCCATTTTTCATTTGTGTCTTCCAAGCGTGAAAATTTTCCTCCACCGCTCAACAGGTTTCACACAATACGATTTATATGAGGTTGCCTGTGCCCTTCGAAGAAGTTCTGTATAGGGGCTGAGGGCGTATTCTTTCTTGCTTGGGAGAGGGATGAGGGCTACTGCTTTAACAATAAAAGGGTTCAGGGAGGAGGAAAGGCAGTCGTAAATTGCTTTTACAAATGGAAAAGGAATCGTTTTATGTTGGGAGCAGGTAGGCTGGTTTTAATTAAAATGCTTTCCAATCCACGGGGCTCATTCATTTTGTTATCGGCCGGCTAACAAGAATAAAGGAATAAAAGACTGGCCGATGGGTGGAGATTTGGAGGGATCGAATTCCAGCAGATCGAGAGAGGAAGTTATGTTAAATACCCACAGTCACGCTGGCCACAAAGAAAATTGAAAAAAAAACAGGGTTGCTCAATTTCTGGCTGCTGACCAATTATTCAATTTAGAATTTTTTAAGAAGAGAAAAAACGCCGAAAGAATTTGAAATATTTTAGAGTGTTTATTAAATTATTTGATAATTTGTTTTTTAATTATATATTTTTTTTTAAATCTTATTGGAAGCGTCAGCTATACCAGCAGGTCTGTAGTAATTATATCAAAATTTTGGCTAATGTCTTTTAAAATGAAGCAAAAAATAATAATTGCAAAGATGGAGTGAAATTAAATTCAAATTTAAACAGTCCTTTTAACAATTTAAGCGTGTAATTATTCGCTTCATATTTCATTACACACTATTACGATTCAGATCGTTGAAGTGCTGATCATTACAAGATAGTTTTAGAATTAGGGTAATTTTCAAATTGCATGTTACAGTGAACTTGAGCATCATCTTTGCTAAAAAAACAAGACAATTTTTATTTTTTACTTCCCACGACGAAGAGACTTTTTTTAATATTAAAATAAAACACATTAAATTATTTTTATTTGATTATTACTGTTGTTTTTTCAAGGTTTTTTTATTAATGGCCACCAATCTCCTTCTCATCAGTCCACGCAATTTAACCGCGGCCGTTGGAAATTATTTTTCCGAAAAGTGAAACCAGCCTCTCGGACTCGCCCGTTGATGGCCAACATCATTCCACACTAATTCCTCTGCGTCGATGAATAAACATGAGCTTTATTAGTCTGGCGCTCTCGCGAGATTGAGAAAAAAAATCTTCAAGTTGCATGCGTGAATTCTGTGAGAATGCAACTTTTCGGCTGGAGATCGCGTGCGTCACATCCACAAGAATCGAGAGCGTCCATAAAAATTTATACGACGCGCGATCACACAAATGAATGCTTTTGATATGACGGTGGGGATTAATTTCGGAGAGTTTTTTACTCTCTCTGTTGGGCGAGTGCCGGCGGCGACTGAGAGCCGAGAGGAGCGTGATGATTTTCGGGAGGAAAAGAAAAGCAGAGCGCGCAGAGTTCTCGGTAATTACTGTACGCAGGCGAGGCACCGAACGTACAAAAAATGGCCAGAAGCAAAAAGGAAAATTATAAGAAAGGTTTTTTCTCTTTTTCGTCATTGCTCCTAAGATATTTAACCCCAATTCAGTAGCAGCAGTAGATTAATATCAGATTTAGTATTTGTGTTATATTTATGTGTAATTTTTAAATTTTGGAATTATATAAAGATACATGAACCTCTCAGATTATGGTCGAGTTTGACACAGTAATATTTTTAATGAAAGCTTCAAAATTTATTTAATTTTGGTCATTGCAAAATTTCATTTTCCCTCATTAAAATATTTTATATAACGTACATCAAGAAGAGTAAAAAATTAAATAAAAACGTTTATTCTTAATTAATATTGTAATAAGTCAAAGCACTTTATATGATTCATTTATTAAAAAAAATTAAATAAATAAATAATTTAGTTATTTCATAATTTACAAATAAAAGTTTTGCTAAAATAAATTCAACAGTAAAAGTAGCGTCAGCGTCCGACAAGAATGATAAATGGGCGTCGCAAAATAATGAGACAATTAATAATCCGCCCCTGCTACAAGAAAAATGAGCTACGCGATAATTAGATTCGGCTGGGTTATCATCTTTTTAATATTTTAGCGCGCAAGGAGAGTTCCCAGGCGAGCCGAAGACGCCCTTTTTTTCTTGCGCGCCAATACAATTCATTTCCATGTCAATCAGCACCGATAAAGATACGCGAAAACCATTCATCAAGTCGCGACGGAGAGTCGGACAATTCTGATATTTGCATTTAGCAGCAGAGAGAGGATCAACACCATCATCAACAAAAGTCTTGTTTTACATTTTCAGCAGACTCCGCACGTTCGCTCTTTGATCGACCTGTTTTTCAGCGGCCAAGCAAAACAAGATTCGCTAGCAGAAATCCTCTTTTGCCACTGCGCTGAAAAACACACACACTGCCAGCCAGCAGTCGAGTGGTGAGGAAAAAAGCTGCACAGATTCGCATTCCAAAGACCCTTTTGGTCTTGAACTTTTGAAAACACTGCCTGGCGAAGGCCATGTTTGGAACAACCGGCTGCTTAGGTGGGATAAATCCCGAAAAAATTAATCGCAGCATATTGAAACTTGATTAAAGATTTTAATTTTATTTTTGTCTCTGAGTTGGTACGTGTTTAATTTATTATTAAAATCAAAATTTAAAACGAAAATGATGAATTTTAGAAAAAAAATTATTTTAATGTTATTTTAACTGTAAGAACTTTATTACTTTGAATTTCATTTCATTCTTACTTTTGGTTTGCATAAATCAGTATTATATATCCCTTTTTAAAAATTAAATAACATGTAATTAAAAAAATTATTTGTATCGTTTGCTGCAAATGCGAAAGGAAAGGAAAACATTTAAATTAGCAAGAATATTTCATACAATTGTCAATTGCCCTAGCTTTCTTTTCTAATGAGTGACTCTCAATCATATCAACTCAGGCTATTCTTTAATTATATTTGTTTTTCTTGATTTTGACTTTGCAGTCGATAAAGCTCCTTTAAAGGACGAGTTTGAAAAAAAAATCTAGCTTTTCTTCTCGCCCAAATTTTCCTTGCAATTGTTTTCAGCAAACTGTGCTATTTTAAGAAATAATATCGATCAGCAGTCCTTAAATAATGAAAAGTATATTTTTAAAATTTTAAAATATACGTTTGATTATTTTTATTATTATATATTTAATATATTAAGCATTTAAAATTTTAAATTTCTTTCACAACCGGAAATTTTGCTCCAAATCTAAAAATATTTTCAAACTTTTCTCTTAAGGGAGTCGCAAAATATTGAATTAAACTAATTAAAGATAGTCCGGAATCTATTAAAAACGAGGAAAACGTGCAAAATAACGCCAGAAAACACTCAATCGTACCTTCTAAAAATTTCCTCCTGAAAAACAGCAGATGCCGGCGTCGATATCTCCTCTCGAGAGTTAGTTCCCAAGCACCAAATTTGCCGAAATCTATCAAAAACTTTCGACCCTCGGAAAAGAAGAGCGAACGGGAGATGCGAGCGTGGTTCGTCTCTCGGCGAGAGCAACACATGGACTAAAAGCAAAGAACTTGGCTTGGGGCGGCGGGCAGGCAGGCGCAGGTCTTCCTAACTAAAGAGGGACCCAGGCGAGGAGAAGTACACAAGTTGGCCCGGCAGCGTCTCTTTCTCACTTCTCTCGCGCTCACATAAAAAGAGAGCCTGCATGTCGGTTGTGTATTGAAGGTCGCAGGCAAAGAAAATATCTACCTGCCGCTCTCGCCAGCTAAAAAAGAAGCAGCAGTCTGGCCGCCGAGCCAAGCCTACGCAGCCTGGCTGAGCAGACCCCTAACCCAAACCTGAATCGGCTCCTCGGCTGCACAATGAGTGGCCGAGTGTATGACCGAACCCTCTTTACCAGGGGCTTCAAATCAAATAATTTTTCCCCAAAGCAATTTGAATTTACTCCTATTAAATGAACTTTAAAAATCAACAGATGGATTTTTTAAGTTTCAGCATTTTGAATTGCAGTTTTTTTTTTAATTAAAATAGTGCTTTGAACCATTTAGAGGTTTTTTGGCAAAATAATCGCTTGTTTAACGTAAGTGATTTTGGTTGATTTAGGTTAGTTTGGAGGTAAAATTTGAACAATGATTTTTTAATGAGGAGTGAAATTAGGTCATGAACTTAAATTTACCAAAGAAGCTAATTGGATTTATACATAAATATTTTTAATAATAAAATATTAAGTAAGTAAAAGTGAATTTAAATTTCCTTACATTAAGACCCAAATTTAGATGGTCCTGTACGTAAGTGTGCTCGTAGCCGCTCGTAGCAGTTACAGGTATAATAGTGTGCGTACATAATCCTCACATATACCCAGCAATGATGCTGTTTCTCTCTCTCCTTATTCTAGAGTGTGCGCGCGCTCATAATTTATTGTGTCGCGGATTGTGCGCGATTTTCATCTGGCCGTCGGGCATTTGGATTTGGTTCGTTGAACTCCATCGCGACGCTCGGACACTTCTTCCGGTATGCACAATTAACTGCTAATTAAGCAAGAGATGCGTCGCTTGGAATTAAAATAATGTGGGCCGTGTGACCGCCAAACAAAGAGTTCCAAATTAAAAAAAAAAAGTGAAATTACTTTTCGTCTGAAAATTCATAGGAATGTTACGCAAATATAATTCCAGCCATTTATTATAAAGAAATTCTCATTTACATTAACAAAAACCTGCCAGACACAAAAGCAGCACTGGAATTGCCTGATTACACGCACGGCTGGAAAGGGTTATGGTCGACTTAGAGCTACCCACGCCTGGGTATAATTAAAAATCTTTCCTGCTGACCATATTATATACAAAAGAACGATTCATCTCAATTATTATTCTCTTGGAACGCAATGCACGTGCGTTTTTGTGTGTCAAGTGTGGTTGGTAACAATGAGTCTATTATTGAGAAGAAAGGCCTCTCTATTAAAGCAAATTAAAATTCCTACCTGTCCGCCGAGGTCCCTGGTGGGCGTGTACTTGGCAGGCGGCCCCTGAGGTCCGGCCGTCTCCACCCTGGAAGCGGGCGAGACGCGAGTCTTGAGCACCGGCACGGCCTGGGGGTCCACCGGGCCTCGGGGCACTCCTGGGGCCCCCGGGGCTCCGGGCGGTGACGGCACCAAAGAAAGACGCGGAGGCTCGCAGTTGTTGGGCACCACAGTGCGTGCAAAGTCACCGGGCCTGATAATCAGAAATTCATAAATTTAATTTTTCAAATTTCTGAAATCATATCAGAAATTAATGGTATAAATTGGCTATTTTACCTAGAAAAATATGTATTTCATTATTTTTAGAAATAAAAATGAGATGGAATTGCAGTAGAATATAATTTTTTATTTCAGTCTCTATAAAACAAAAATGTGTTTTTATACTTTTTATTATAGACAGAAAATTGAAGAGAATGTTTAAAGAGAAAGAAATTTTCAATAATCGTTTTAAGAAAGAAATAAAGTAAATTAAATTTTCAGTGAAAAATTAAAAAAAAATTGTAGATAGAAAAGGAGATTATTTTACTTAAATATGGACAGAAATAATTAAATTATTGCATTTTAGGTTCAAAATTGACCACATGAATTGACTTTCTATTAATTCTCAAGTGAAAATTAAATGATCAATTTTGGAGCCTGTATTTTTGGAAATGAATTTATTTCTATAAAATAAATGTTAAATCATGATTTTTTTATTTAAACATATCAAGATAAAAGAAAAGAAGATGAGTAAAAAAACTGATTGTGAGCGAGAAAAGTTGGTTCACGCCATGGTCAAGAGATTGCTTAATTTATTTCTAGGAAACGCTTCAGCGTCAAGTCAATTATTATTATGCGGTGAAGCTACGGACAATTAAAAAAAAAATCACTCAAAATTAGTCCACTGCAGTTCAATTCCTGGGCGAGTTCGTTGGCTTTATCTTCCTCTCGGAACTGTTATAGAAAAATCCGCATGCTCTGCCTAGAGCTCTAATTAATTACAGCAGCGCTCGGTCATTAATTTCCAGCACGGAATTAATCGTCGCTCGAGATAATCTCCGTAAGAAAGCTGTGCTCCGTCAAAAAACACGTAAAAACAAGACTTTGAGAAAATCAGACGAGCGATAAATCAGGCGCCTCTCCTCTGAACCTGCACCGCCGCGTGTGTGTGTCCTGCGTGCAGGTCAGGGCAATAAATTTGTGTGGTTAACACTTTAGTCTTTTCTAGGTGGCCTCCCACACGCACGCATTGTTAGTTTTCCTAAATATATACCTGCTGGGATATATTTGAGCAATTCATCAACCTGCCCAAAAGCCGAGAATTTAACAAATAATTCCCCTTGAACCCTGATGGATATCTTTATATTGGTGATTTCCTGCAGGATGTATATTTTATTATTTTAATTTAAAAATTTAATTTTTAAAAATGTAGATCCTACCTGATTTTGCAAATCTATATTTTTAAAATTTTAATGTTTTTATTATATTCATCGTTGTTTATTATTTGTAAATTTTTTCACAGTTTTTTTTCAAAGTGTAAATTAATTTGTTTTTAGATTGTTAATGATATTTTTGTTTAATTTAAGCTTGCAGAATCATTGAATAATTATAATACCTGTCTACTTTCAATGTTTTGATTATCAAAAATGTTATATTTAAAATCTTACTAGAAGAACATTGACGCCATCATTAAAAGTTGATGATGGATTAAATAAGAAGTCTAATTTGCAACTCTGCAAAATTAATCTCAATCCGTATTGCTAAAAACTAGAATACCAAATTCGAAGAGCCTTTGATAATAAATCTCCAGAACTTTAACTCGTTCCCGATCTCACCTGATGCAGTTTTCGTCGGCGTCCCCAACCCCTCGTTTGTAAACGTCCTTCAGTTTGAACTGAAACGCTTCGTGCACTCTTCTGCTGATGGTCATCGTCTGCATCAATCGTTTCTGCTCTTTGTTTTCCTCTTCCTTTTCTTCCTTTCCAACAATCGATGGCTCGACTTCATCTTTTTTTGCTTCGTTTGGCTGATCCGCAAGGGAAATTGCTTTGGATGTATTAGGAGGAGATGGGCTTCGTTTCGCTTGTTTCCGATAATCATTGTTGTTTAGGTCACATTTTACTGATGAATGTGCGTGGTGCTGCTGCTGCGACAGCCATTCGCTGCCTGAATTATAAAGGAGAAAAAGTATAACCACTGAATGAGAGATCTAAGTTTTTTAATTTCATTTTTGTGAATTGAATTAAATTTATTTCATTTGCAAATAGTTCATGCAAATTTTTGAGAAAACAATAAAAGTTTCATTATTTAACTTTCATCTCCAATTGAATCTCATTTAGAGAAAACGACACAGCTGGTTGGGTCTGATGAAAAAACTGACGTGAAAGAACTTGTTAACGATGCATTGGATTCACTTTTAAATCAATAATCACGGTGATAATTGGACATGCTTTGAAATAAGAAATTCTATTACGGCGCGTAATGAGTTTGCAAAATTTTATCGCGCAATAATGATTCCTTTTAATATTAAGTTAAATCATGTAGTTTTAACCTCTTAAATCAAAGGGTCATGTAAATAAGACGACTTCAGTAGGCAAAAAATCAAGGAAGTGGAACTGTCATTAAAACTTGACTGAAGTAATTAATATGTTGGTATCAATGCAATTAAGCAGAAATGATGGTTTAAGGTCTCCTTAATGAAATAGTCAAGTCAAGTCTTTTCAACAATAGTAAAGATTATATTAATTATTGGAAAATTTAACTTCAATTTTTGTAGACTTAATTTGACACTGTCTACATTCTAATATTTGGGGCACAAAATGAAAACAATTTCGTCTCATGAGCATTGCTATATCAATATTTTTAAATATTTAATTCGTCTTGAAATCTTTTGCATCAATTTTATTGGAAAAAAATTAAAAATAAATATTTTGTGGTGTGGCAATAAAATTGTCTTTTTAGGATCTCTCACCAGTGATCACATGGCTCTCGGAAAACCGATCGTCGCCCGTCCAAAAACTGGCGTTGAAATGTTTCATGCCCGTCCAAAGCCTTCGTTGGCGGTGTCCCGTGGTGGCCCACATGGGCCGGACGCGGTTGGGCTTGCTAGGGCCTCGGTTCGGGGCCCAGAGGACGAACTCGTCGGTTGCGTCGTCGGACGCGCCGCCTTTCTTCTTCACCATTTGGCTCGGACTGACTCGAATCCACTCGCCACCGCGTAAAGTCAGGGAGACAATGTTCAATGGTGTGAATTCGCTCATAAACTTTCACTGAAGCGCGCCGTGCTCGGATGCATACGAAACTGCGCGCAGCTATAATTTAGCGGTGCACAAGTTTGTGCAGCGCAATTAACAATTTAATTATCCGGCGGTATCAAAATACAAAGGCTTGCAAAATAGGAATCATTGCGCGCTCGGCGGCGGAACAATGGCCGTGCTGGGAGAGTTCATCTGCGATGGAATGTTTTTCCTTTCCTAGGGAGCGCGAACTTTTGCTTTTTATTCCGACTCACTGGCGCTGTTGTCAAATGCTGCGAGTGAAATTACTTTTTTAATTTTGTGGGGGCAGCGATTGCACAAAATTTTTTGCCTCCTGTGCTGTGTGAACAAGTAGATATGCATCAATGCAATTAATATTATGGCCACGTAATTGCCAGTGCATATATCAAGGCAAGTTCCACTTTAGGAATTTGAAAGACGAAATGAATATGAAGCCCCGACGAGTTTCAAGATTTAGAACAATTAAATTAATTAATTAATTCAAGTTAAAATTTATTTGCTAAGTATCAATAATGGTAAAAATAATAGCTTTTTATTGTGTTTGAATACAATATATGAAATCAATCACCATTCAAAATTATAAACAAAATTGGATTCATATTGAAAGTTATAAAAAAAATTTCAATGAAAATTTTGATACATCTATTGGATTCTCTACGTGTTTTTTCAATATATCAATCGGAATTAAATTAAAATTTTGCACATTCTGATGAAAGATTAAAATGCGTTAATGCACGTTGTATAATTATACTTCCATATGCAGACACAGAATTTATTTTAATAATATAAATATTTTGGAATAATATATTTGTCAATAATATTGATATATTATTTTGTTATTCAAATAATTTATAAATTATATTTAATAACACAACCTTATTGTAATAAAATAATTAAAGTGACTAAATAATTCTAAGTAACTGTAAGGTTGTGTTAAAGAGCAATTTAATTTAAAAAATGTTATTGTTGTTATACGAAATGTTATAAACACAATTCATTTTATTCAATAAGCAAATTACTGTTTTTACTACGCCACTTCTTTTGATATTATTTATAAATTGACAAATTATTTAATGTGTTCAAATAATGCAATACATCTTACCACCGGGATCAAAAAGTGCACACAACACACAATTATGAAGAATTTAATAACAAACCTTGCACCTTAGCGCAACAGTTAATTGCCGCCTCTAATTAAACACGCTCCGTTGGCAATTGAATTTATAAACAAGCTTAATAAATTTATCTGCCCACGTTGGCGTGAAATGCAATCCATCTGCATGAGCCTCATCGTATTTTATGAAGCAGGGAAAATATGTGTGTACAATAAATCCTTTCGCAACATACGGCCGCATTTAACCGTTAAATTTGACAGCAAGAGCGCCGAAAGTAGGAAGTCAATACAAATAAATTTGCGCGAATTTATTTCCGTCTCTTTAAAAAATCGCTGGAGTATAACTGACCTGCCTCTGAAAATGGAGATTTAAGAAGTCGTAAAGGTTTTACTGTTATGTATACCTTTTGCACAATATGCAGCACAGAGGGTATAAATATTTATCCTCAGCAAAACTCAAATAATCCTAAATCAAGCAGAATCAAAAGATGGCAATCTTTACTGGTTTGGAAAAAACACGGCTGTAAATAATTCACTGGGGATGTACATTTTTATAATGCAAGAGTTTCTCTCGTCTTAAATTGCCGAGAGTTTTATTATCGTTTTGAATTATAAATTATACAACCGTGGTATGTAATCATAACTCAAACACAAGACCCAAGGACGCAAAACTGCAGGCTCGTATATTTATTTCATTTTCACATCGGATTTCTCATTATTGTGGTCGCCAACTCCAATTATATGCGAGAGTTCGAAATGTAATTTATTCTTCTGTGTACATCCAGAAGTCAAAATGTTATTATACACGTGCTGTACTTCGACGCAATATAAACGCTATAAACCACCAAGTCTGTTATATTCTTGTTCGATTTGAGCATAACTGTGGTCTGCACCGAGAGATTAAATAAAATAGTTTGGTATATTGAGAGTTTGCTTATTTGTTATTTGTTCTTGGTGCGTTTCTATTTGAAGATTTTATCTTTGTTCCCTGTGTTTTTCTATATGCGTTTAAGTCAGACATTTATCAAATATAATTGACACAACAAACGCTGAATCAGCTTATTTGTTCTGTGGAACTTTGATTGTGTACCAATAATTGCGCATGATCCTTCAAATCGTTTTATACCATTTTACAGACATGACCTCCAGAGCCCTTCTTATCTTCTAATTACCACAATAATTTTGATTTGTTTCGTTTTTCCCGCTTTTTCTTTTTGATTTTTTATTAAAAAAATAGAATGCAATAATTGTATGAAAATTTTTTGTAGTAATTACTAGTTAATTTTTTTTATGAGTGTTAAAAAACATATTATCGAATTTTCATGGTATTTAAATCCAAGAGTTCATTTCCAAATCAGGAGCGCATAATCATTTCAGTCGTTTAATTTTATTTTGATGTAATAATTTGATGTAAAATGTTGTGATATTTAAAAAATGTATCAGAATGAAGAATAAATAAGATAAAAAGGACTTCATTAATTTCGTCACTATTTTCTTCAGTAAGGTTAAATAAATAATTAAAACATCGTGCTATCTGATTATATTACTGAAAATTTAAGAATGAGATCACGATCAATTATTATGGTTTTAAGTTGAAATGTGCTGTATTAAATAAATAATAAATAAAAATTGTGAGTAATTTTTATAGTTAGAATAAAATTTTAATTTTAGATTAGCTTTGGCCATACTTTTTTTTTAATTTTATCTGGTATTATGACCTTCAAGGATGAATTTTGAGTAAATAGAGACGCAACGCAATGAAAGTAACCGCAAATATATATAAAAAAGATTGCGGTTACACTAGCCGAAAAATGGTCAGGAAATAACACACTGAACAATAAATAAAAACCAGCTTGACTATCAAATTTATGTCTTTCCAACGAAATAGTGTAATTTTCGCTTCGCTACGGTTGCTGACACGCCTAGCTGATATGCAACCGGTGCGACGTTTCATATTCCGCCGCGTGAGAGACGTGAGTCGTGCATCGACAATGTTGCTGTCGACAATGGAAGGAAATGGGTGATTAAGCAAACAGATGCAGCTTCACAATCTCGCAGAGATACGTTGACACGAAAGAGGTTTCCCTTTTCGTGCGATCGCAACCTTTGACAGGATTATAAACTTCGACACCGAAATGAATGGGAATACACCTGTTAACATTCACACGCTAATACATTATGGGCATTATGGCTCAAAAATAGTAAGTCGGTGAAACCTTTTATTGAAAAGAAGAGACGCCCACGCGATCGTTCGTGCAGCCCATTCATTCGAAAACGCGATTGGCAAATTAATTTTTTTACAGAGGCGCATGCCGGTTATACAGAGTGGAAATTGTTCTCAGGATCATTAGCGGAGCATCACGATTTTCCCTCCTGGTTATGGATCGGAACACTCACGAAAGAGTGCGCGAACATAGTATAACCTTTATCGTGCATATTAATTTATTATTGGGAATTCATATATGATGAGAAATAATAGTATTTAAGACTTTTACTGGCCATTTTTCTATGTTTATTTGCTATTTTATTTCAGAAACATTTCTTATTTAAAAGATATTTTAATTAGAAAACAATGTTCCAAATATTCATTCATAATAAATTTTTATTTGGTAATTTTTTCATCTCTTTTGCTGATAAAAATGCCAACGGTAAAATTTCATTGCTTTCAATCTCAAAGGCAAAATTATCTAGAATGGAAAATTCTATTTTAAATATGAAACTAAAAAAACTGTGTAAATTCCACTTCATTACCTCTTTACAGATGAAACCCATTTTTTTTTTTTTTTGCCTAGATTTAATTCTTGGGGTCTGTTTTGAACGCATGTAGCCTCCGGATACTTTGTCACTCACAATAAAACTATAAATAATCTTTTTATTAGCTTCCTTGAAATTCTAACTTGGCGACTGTGGAGCGCCGAGATCACGCGAAATCTCCACAGCACCTTTTACTCCTTGTCAGGTGAAGTAAAATTCACAGCCGGTAGTTTAGTCAGGAGCCGGCAGGTACCGCCTCGCTCCAGCTACCCTGACACACTCTTTGCAACCTGAGACCACGGCTGTGAACTATAATTTATTTTAAAAGTTATTACGTAAATATAAAAAGCAAAGTTAAGAAAGGAGAAAGGAAAAATGAGATTTTTTTTCATTTTTATGTTTGAAAAACTACTGATATATTCAAGAAAGCTGTCTGGTGAAAAATGAAATTTGGTTTCAAATTTTAGTAGCAAAATCCCATAGGTTATGTTATTTCTCTGAAAAAGAAAAAATCTCCAGAGAAAACTAACTAAACACTAAGCATTAAAATTTATAAAATTTCTTATTTCCAAAGAAAACAAGGAAAATTAATTAAAAATAGGTATTTGTCTTTGAAAAAGCGAGTTTCTAATTGAAATTGCAATTGTATGATCATCAAAAACTTTGTTTATGAAAACTATTTAGTTTCCCATAATTTTTAATCAGATTAGTAAAAATTCATTCTCAATCAAGTAGAATAATAATGTGGGCCTTTCCAACGATCTAAATTTGCAACTAAATAAATAAATGTCTGTACTCACCGTCTTGGTTTGGGTCTGATGATCTCATGGTCCGAGAGGGGGCCTCTGTAGTGATCGGCGTCCCTGAATTCAGGGATGGGCGGGTGCTGACTTGCAGTGGTCATGGTGCGCTAGGTCAGTGCTTAAGGTCGCACGCACCTACAGCATTTTTCTGCAACAAAATTACAGGCCTTCAGTGAGCTGTTGAATCGTTGCAAACGTTCTCGTGCGGTCACGTATAATAACTAACATTCGCAAAAGA